GGAAAATAGGGACATGCGGGGCCGGGGGTGCTTGGCCGGGCCGGCGGTGCCGGGCCGGCAGTGCTCGGCCCGGGGCCAGCACCCCAGGGCCTGAGCCGAGCCAGGCTGGAGACACTGGGGCTGGAGCCGGCCGCCGGAGGGAGCCGCTCGGTTGGGGGGGGGGGGGTAGACTGGGCTGCGCCTCCTCCCCCCACCCCACCCCCCCGACTTACCTGCTGCCTGCTTCAGGCTTCCCGCAAATCAAATGTTCGCGGGAAGCAGGGGAGGGGGCGGAGGCGTGGGCAGGGCTGGGGGCAGGGCTGGGGCCCCGTGGAGTGTCCTCTTTTTGGACACTCAAAATATGGTAACCCTAAATTCATACTAGCAAGGGGAACTTTGCTTTCATTTATTGCTATGACGCTCTCAACAACTAAATCACATGAAAGCAGATTGTATAAATACAATCTAGCCACAATATGCACAAGATGACGGAATAAGGTTTGCAATTCCATTCCTCTTTAGACTTTTAATGCCTTAAGGAGTTTCAAGAATTTGCCCATGAAAACAGTCTCTTCATATTTATTTTCTGTGGTCACAAAAAAAATCTGGTACAACAGGCTTCTGTCTGTATCTAGATTGAGCGGGGTTCTCATTCTCAGAACATCTCCCACTTTAGGCCATAATGCACAATTGTTACTAACCAGCACCACTTACAGTTCTCTTCACCATGCGTTGCTTTCCTACTTCTCTCCAGTGGCAGATCTCCTCCACAGATTTAAATATGTCACCTCCAAAAAATTTTCAACTTTTCATCAGAACCTTTCACAGCCTCATCTTATTAAGGTGCGCTGAACTCTGAAGAGCTCATTCTTTGTATGATGGAAAAATCCACATGAATGGACTTATGCAGACAAGGGATTTAAAGGGAAATTGCAGTGATTTCGGTCTCCTAGAGGACTACAGAAAACTTCATTTATAGAAGGAAGTTATAAAGCAATACTTAAAACCACTTGATATGTTTTAGAATCCCTATTGATAAACTGGCCATTTATGAACTCACTAAGGACAACCATTTTAATGATAACTGAAGGGGAACACGGCTTATAGGCAAGTAAAACAAGATGAGCTGTAGCCAAAGGCAAAAGAACAGCATGTTAATTGCACAGCACAGATGTAGCTCTAACAAAAAAGCTTCCAGAAACAAACTGAACTTGCTTTAAAAGAGCTGTAAGAGTTCACTGCAGTTCTCTGTGTCTGACTGCAATTCCAACGTTCTCCTCTGGTAGCCTGACAATGCAGTCCATTCCCATTTTATTCTTTCACATGTAATTAATTTATCCAGTCCTAGAAGACTGGGCAAGGCTACACAAGAAGGAACTAAAGAGGACAAGACGAAAGGAAAATGGAATGGCATTTTTTTTAAACACCATTATTTCTACCAATTCCTTGGATATTTGAAACCAAAATCTATTCCTTCAGCTTCAACTCTGGGTGAACTGGTTTGTTATAGGGTTACACACAGGTTCTCATTTTAGGGGAAAAAAAGAGAAAGATTTATAAGGACTTTGTAAATATAAAGCATCTATTTTGCATCCATTTTGACAGTTAAAGTGTTTTTGAATATAATTACAACTTTTGCTTTGTAAAATAAAGAGAAAGTTTGATGCACTGAAGTTACCTATTGATATCTCATATAGCAAATCCACTCCCAAGAAGAGTTACAGATTAATCTTACAGGAGCAACTGCAAGGTGGGAAATCAATCTTTAGAGCTCAGTGTTTACTGGTAAAGGTGGGAGGTGGGGAAAGGGGGGTTTGAATATAAAATAAAATGCACAAAAGGAAACACAAACAGCCATCTGAGATTTCAGAATACTGAGGACTAGCCCCATCTTCTGGTATGATTTCACTACTGGAGAAAGGGGAGCAATATCTCCTACAACAACGCTAAACAGGGACAGTAGAGAGGATGACTTGTTTCACAAAAAAGTTACTGTTAGACATTACAACATAGCATTTCAACAGAGGATACTGAAGTACTTATGGAAGACACAGTAACACTAGACAGACAAGTCTATTCATCAGAATAAACTATCAGAATGTCCAGTTCAATGTAAGCAAAACAAATTAAGAAAAGAAGGTGAGCAGTCTACATGCAAAGTTTTTGATAAATAAGCTAAGATACACAATAAATACAAAGTTGACACTTTCAAATTAGTATAGCCCTAAAGCAAAACGCTGTAGAGAAGTTCAAAGTTGTGTTCATTGAATATTTCCAAACAATGCAACCTTTGGATCTCCCACCAAGAAATGGCTCAACCAGAAAAAGAGCTACGTATTAGATAGATATAAAGGAAAGGAGGAGTCAAATTTCTTATATTTGTACATTTCGTATTTCCCTGGTTGAAATCAAACAGGTCCTTACAAATGTGGCTGGTAAGCTTGGGTTACATGTTGGGCTGGAACCTCCACATAGCAAGTTGCACATTTAAGTGGAAGGTACAGAAAGTGAAGACAGGATAAGAAGTACAAGTTAACCCCAATTCTGCAATAATCACAACGACTGCTGAGAAGCCACCTTATTACTCAGCAGCAGAGGAGATTGTATGTAATCTCATGTCTCAGACATTTTTTGCCCTAAATCAAAATGCTAGGTGCCGAACAAACATCTAGTAAGACACAGTTCTAAGAAAGAGTGCACAGTCCAATTTAAAGACAAGACTGAACAAAACAGACAAAGGGGTTTAGGCAAGAAGGACAAGGTCAACAGTGATAGGAACACATGGCTAAATGAATTTACAGATTCTGAGTATTTCCTGTACTTAAAAAAATCACCCAAAAGACTACCTATCCGGCCCCCCCCCCCCCAAAATGAAATCAGTAATTCCAGCTAGCGACATACCTAGGCATTATCCACTGGCAATTTACCATAGGTGGGACTACATACAATGGGCTTGAGGGTTACTACTACTCAGTATAGAAGAATAAATATGGTTTACCCTTACCTGTGTCCACATATACCCTCTGCTCATGTTTAAGTGCAACCACTTTATGTTCAAAAACAACAAGGAGTCTGGTGGCACCTTAAAGACTAACAGATTTATGCCCAAATAAATCTGTTAGTCTTTAAGGTGCCACCAGACTCCTTGTTCTTTTTGTAGATACAGACTAACACTGCTACCCCCTGACACTTTATGTTCAATGCTGCATACAGCTTGTATAATCATAACCTTAAATATTACATTAAGGGAACAGCAGCATGGGCAGGCTCATCATAAACACAACAACATGACATGTTGAGCAGAGAAATAAACTAATGCAGGTCCAAAACCCTCAAAGGTTAAGTGTCTATCTTACTAACACATTCCAGTGCTTTTTGTAGAGACTGTACATTAACACATAATTAAAGTTCTTTTATTTCCTTTGTATAAGTTCTCCACTTATTCAAATGCAAATTCTACCATGCCCATCCTACACAAAGCTGAAACTCATTCAGACAAGATCTCGCCTTTAGATTTTTCTATTTCACAGGCTGGGAATTGTTAAACTTAATGTAAGATCTACTTTCCTGATTTCTGCACACTATCCTATGGCAGCAGAGTGCAGCAGTCATCATTCGGGCTCGCCTATTCTGTTTGTGGCTTATGAGAAACAGATGGAGGATCATATTGAGGCTGGGGTAATTCCTCAACTTCAGCCTCTAGTTTCAAGGCCTCTCAGTTTAATGCCTGATTCAAGAGGGAATGGCTTCTATACTGAAGACTGACAGGACCAAATTATAGCTACCTTTTATTTACAATGTAGTCTTCATGGCAATCTTCTTGTTCCCCAAATGTGGGATGCAATATGGGTACAGCTACAAACTACTTTTCTAGGAAACTTGAGAAACCCCAAAGCAAGATCACAGGGCCCAAGATACTAATCACAAGAATGGTGTAGAAAGTAAGGGCAAGAAGTTTGTCTTCTGATGGCAAGGTTCTCCTCCCCCATATTCAGTCTGCTCACATTTGCAAGGAACTGAATTTATTTAGGCTAAAGATGGGGCCTTTCTTAAATGTCTTTAGAAATTTCAGGAGTAACATGGGCTGTACCAGAATACCATGGTATGTTTCACAGAGACCACCGCAAGGCAAAATAAATAAATAAATATATACGCAATACTTACATTGCACACTAAGAGTGAAGTAAGATGAAACAGTGTTAACACGAGGGACAAATTTCAACTGGTCATTAGTAGAGATGAGACCAAGCCAAGAAGACTTAGAAAAAAGGACTTGAACATTCCCAACATCCAAAGGTGTTTGGGTGCAGAAATTTAATTTAGGCCCATCTCTAGTTACCAGCTCAAAAGGCAAAGTGGAAAACATTTTTAGGGTTACACGTCTTTTTTGGCCAACTAGATTGAGTATAATAGACTTACACACACATGCTCAACCTTACCAATTTGGATTTTCCAAGCTTTCCCTGAAGACAGATTCTTCACTTAGAGATGCATATTGTGTCCAGGTAAGGCAATGAGACTTCATAACCATATTTCTTTCCTGCATATTAAGCCAAGATTCTTCCTCTAAGTAGATGTCAGACACTTTCAAGACACTGACCTGTCAAGTGTAAGGATAACTTTCAAAACTCAGTATTTTGAGACCAAACACTTTCACATATTTAGAATTTATTTTTATCCTTGTATGCTAAAACTGAGGATTAACACTGAGAATGAAGGCACATCAACGGCAGCCAGTCCTTAATGATACACATTGACCTTAATAGATGCCGGTGAGGTCATGCAAATGTTCAAAGATTTATGCAAACTGCTCAGTCCCCAGCCAGATTTCCTGGACTGCTAAATGCTAAATAAATGATCTAGCTACATCATGTTTCATTTCTAACTGGTTATGGCCTATTTAAAATGATGGATTCTAATAGGGCCCATTCACAGACTATTGCATGCAAGACACAATCAGCTAAAACTAAGATGTGCAGCACAAACCTACACCTGCACCCTCCTGTTTCTGGGCTGCTCTGGCCCCCAAAATAACTTATCCCCTGAGGAGCTACTTAAGTTACAGCAGACTGTTCCCAGCTGCCTATGGGCAGCAGCTCTGCCCAGAATCCCCACAGAGCTGTAAATTGTGTCTCCACTCCCAACACACCCCTCCTGCCAAATCATGCTCTCTACCATGGGGTTTCAGGGGATCATCAGAAGCCAACTTAGGACTGTCTTTCTCCGCTCCTACACTGGGAGTATTCCTCCTCAGCCAGACCTGATGCTTTTAGAACTCATTTACTCTGGTCTGCCTTCTACCCAGGGCACAAAGGACAGAACAAAAGTGAGAATCGCAGCCTTGGATCATTTTACATTCCGTGTCCAGTAGGTGGAAATTTACTTTTTCCTGCGTGGAAGAAGGATGTAGAATAAAAACACAGATGTAATGGGCATAAATGCTTTCGTACTAACTATAAGAAAAGTTACAAGCTGTTAATAAAATTAAAGCTAATTTTCATCAACTGAAATTTAATTGAAACAAGGTGGGTGAGGGAATATCTTTTATTGGACCAACTCCTGTTGGCGAGCGAGACAAGCTTTTGAGCTACACAGGAAGAGCTGTGTGTAGCTCGAAAGCATGTCTCTCTCACAACAGAAGTAGTTGGTCCAATAAAGAGATTTTACCTCACCCACCTCATCTCTCGAATATCCTGGGACTGACACCACAACAGCACTGCATACAAATTTAAGTGAGGGCTCTCTCATCACTGCAGTGCAATAAGAGATTCCTTAGATCTCCTATATTGAATTTGCTACATCTGTTCTCCCATTCACCCGGGGGGGATACCTTGCATTTTCTAGACTGAATATTTCTAGGGATGATGAAGGAGTGTAGGAATGGAGTGGGGTTGAAGTGACATTGCCGGGTTATAAATGTTGGTTTTGATTGTGACACAAGTGTCTTGGATCAATCAAAATGATTTTCTTTTAAAGATAGCATATTTTTTGCTACTTATGCTTTTTGTATTCTTTGTTCGCATTTCTTTCAGCTTTGACCATGAATACAGCGAATGAAAATACACTCACAGCATTTGGAATTCAAAACACTTCCATGCCATGTTCATTTTCCCCCCAAAATGTTTTTATTGGCATTTAAACAAAAATCCATGGCAGCATTTCTGGAGTGGTAGGTTTTGTAAGAGACTGCAAAAGTGCCAAACAAGTATTGAAAAGTCTTGCACAAGGTCTCCTTCCCCCCCCCCCCCAAAAAAATCATAAGATTTGATAGTTTGGGGTTATTTTTTACTTGAATTTTGATTTCTGAGCCTTCAGAGTATATTTGGGTCACATTTTCAAGATTCTCTCTTCTACCAAGAGGGCTAGAAACAAAAGCTAACGTTTTCAAGTAATCACAGGACTCTAGGAGCGGAGCTTTATCAAAACAAAAAAAAAAACAAAAAAAAAGAAAATACCACAAGAGAGCTGGCAACCTTTAAGATGTTTCTACAAAACCTATTATTTGGGGTAACATCTCTTTAAAAACCTTAAGTTCACACTAAAAATGCCAATTACATACATTTTATAAAACATGTATACAATTATTCAAAATCACACTTTAGTAATAGCTACACAGATATATTCCAAGGTCTTCCAGTAACCTGCTTCCATGGAAGGACAGCAGCTTGCTTTAAGAGATTTCAATAAGAGAGAAAACAATTTGAAATTGTTGAAGGATTCCTCTCGACTATTTTACAGGTACGCAAGAGATGCCACCACCCATATCTTAATCTGTGCAAGACTGCAGTTTTGTCCTTCCTAACCAAATGTAAGACTCATTTATATAGAACCTTTTCGTTATTTTTCAAAGAAAAAAGTTTTAACTTTCTTCTGGCTAAAAGTCTCTTCACGTAAATTGCATCACAAGCCTGTATCAGGATTGTTTGTTTGTTTTTTGTTTTGTTTTTTAAGCATCACTTAAAAAAAAAACATAAACCTGGATTTAAAGTAATTACCTTTCTTAAGATTCCTGGAATTACATTCTGACATGTTGCAATTCTCCTTCTGTAAATAATCCCTGTGGACAAATCTGATCATAAAAAAAAGAAGAAGAAATAAGACATATTGAATAGCTAGCCTGCAAATGTTGCCTTTTATCAATAAAAATAAATATCTGGAGATGTCAACAAGAGAATGAAACTGCAAACAGGAAGGCTGGCAAACTAAGGATGCATTAGACTGTGTTTTTTATTAATTATTATTATTATTTAGAGTAACCACAGTATTCCTTCTCCTTTGCCAGACAAAGTGATAAACGAGAAAGATGCTGACAATCTGGGCTCAGTCTCATAAGGAGGGTATCTGTGCCCATCACTACACTCTAGCACCCCCTACCAGCCAGAGAACAGATGGTATTTTACAAACATTTTATTGGCATTTATACTAGTACTTGTAAGGGGCACAGCATTGCACATACAGCCAAACTCTCACATAAGTGGGCATGAAAGCATTGAAGTCAGAGCTGGATTTGGAACATAGCAGCAAAGGAGTTCATTTTCAGTAGCACTATTTTGTTGATGATCGGGGAACAGAGAAAAGTAGAGTGCAAGTATTTTAGGCTGTATGGACTGTTTAGCAGTCAGTCCATGCCTGGACCAAAACGTTGCTTTCCACTTGCTCCATTCCGCCACTTAATATTCTCAAATACATCCTATGGGCACACAGAATACACTCCTCCCTCTTACTGCATTTGAGGTCTACAGCAAGCTCTTCTGACTATTCATTTATTTTTATATTGAATTGGGCCCAATGACAAGGACAAAGCTATCTATTAAAAATCAAATGATAGTTATTTAGCATCACCAAAAACGTGACTGGCTTTCAGGATCTCTTTGCATTTTAATATTTAATGAACCAGACCAAGTACAGAAACCTTAGTATGCTGCGAAAGGAGAAGCCAACTGGCAAATGGCCCAGTTTAAAGAGAGCTCTCAGTGATAAAAGAATGTCTTCTCAAAAAGTTTATCTGGTGGGATCTGTCGGCTGTGAAAGGGCTCTGATGGTACACTGGGTAAATATTAGGTGCTTACATGGTATATAAACCAATATCTTCCAAGAAAAGGGCTGCTTAGTGCATACAGGTACAATTATACCCTCAAAATACACTTTTGCAAATGTTCCATTTTCTCTATGCAGGGGCTGCTCAGTGATACCACGCTTGTACAAAGCAGAATACTGGAATTAAGACCCACCATGTAGATCTATTTTAGGTACTTACATGGCCATTTTACAGATTGGGAATTGAGGCACAGAGAAGCTAAGTGATTTGCCCAAGGTCACACAGGAAGCCCATGGCAGAGTGGGGAACTGATCTCACATCTCCCAGGCTCACCACTGGACCATCCTTCCTCTCAATGCGAGGCCAGAGTTTAGCCCTACATATTTCCATTTGACTGAAAATGCTATCAAAATCAATACACTTCCTTTGTTTGCATCTCTTTCCCAGCAAGTCATCACACTAATCTGGGAGACAGAGGGTCTCTCTATTAGAGCACTCGTGAGCAGCTTGGGCCATAAGATGAAGTACAGAAGTCCTTCTCTCCCCCAAAAATGAGAGCTTGAGTGCATTTCCAAGAGCAGAAACATAGATAGTTGTTTCAGCACAAAAACACTCTTTTGTATGGATGTTTATTCCCCCATATTTTAAAATAAAATGGCGCAAGTGTACAGACACTGTATATCAGCCAGTGTGCTTAAGTGGCAATTTTCCAGTGTGCCTACTAGTAAATCTCTTTTAAATTACAAATACAAACACTATCTACCCATTAACAGCAGCAAAGGCATCAGTCTCACCAAAATTCTGTCACCTGAGCAAGTGTCCCTTTTCCAGACAGTGTCACAAATGTTTGGCAATTGGAGAAATCTAAATGCTTTAGCAGGCCAATGCTCAAACCACTGAACTATCCCTCCCCCACAAAAGGATATTTTAGAAGTATCCTTTTGTGGGGGAGGGATAGTTCAGTGGTTTGAGCATTGGCCTGCTAAACCCAGGGTTGTGAGTTCAATCCTTGAGGGGGCCACTTAGGGGGCTGGGGCAAAAATCAGTACTTGGTCCTACTAGTGAAGACAGGGGGCTGGACTCAATGACCTTTCAGGATCCCTTCCATCTATGAGATAGGTATAGCTCCTATTTTTTTTTTTTTTTTTTTTTTAAATATTTCCAGTGATTAAAGCAACTGGGGTGGGAATCTGGGACTCTGGCTTCAATTTCTGATTCTGACAGTATCTTATTATAGGATATTGGGCAGGTCACTGAACCTCTGTGACTGTTTCCCCATCTTTAAAATGGAACAATGATACCTCCTTTTCACACACAGAACGTGAAACCAAAGTAATCAAATATCTATTGATTTTGATCACTTAGGGTTGATCTCCATTGACTTCAGTGGGCTTTAGAAATTCACTGAGTCATGACAGAAATGGAATGGACCTATACACTGAAAGTAAGTACACCTCTACCCAGATATAACGCGACTCAATATAACACGGGATCGCATATAGCACGGTAACCCCAGGGCTGCGGCAGTGGGGCTCGGGTGGTGCTTTAAAGGGCCCGGGGCTCCAGCTGCTGCGGGGAGTCCGGGCCCTTTAAATCACCGCTGGAGCCCTGCCGCCGCTACCCCGATATAACGGGGTTCCACCTGTAACGCGGTAGAGATTTTTGGCTCCCGAGGACCATGTAATATCAGGGTAAAGATGTAGTACAAGTCATGCTTCTAATACCCTCTGAATTAGCTCCCAATCTAAAAAGAGTGTAAATAAATTTTAAGCTCTTTGGGACAGACTGTCTTTTTGTTCTGTGTATATACAGCACCTTGCACAATGGGGTCCTGTCCGTAACCATGGCATTACTGAAACACAATAATTATGACAACAACATGAATAAGTAGCTTACCTGTTTTTTCTTCCATGGTTTTTATAGCTGTGACATGTTTCTCCATGGGACTGGGATACTAGGTAAAAATGTACAGTGTAAACATTACTATATTTGTCACTTGGGTAAGAGAAAATTGCTAACACGCACTTGTGAAATCAATAAGCATTTTCATGGTCTCTCAATGGATAGAAAGAGCAGGTTTGTGTCAAAAGTGTGCAGTGTTGCCAAGAGGAGAAATTAAAAATATATTTTTTAAATTTACATTTGATTTATTGTGGTGAAGAGGTTTGCTTAGCCTTTTTAAAAAAAAAAAAAAAACCCCACAACCTTCAGTCTCACTACAGAACACTCATATTAAACAGAGATTTTAAAGCCTAAGCAACATACAGAATACCCTCAAAGCAGAAAGAGTAAAATTGACCTGTATCACAAGGTTCTAGCTGACCATAGCTTGCAGAAGTGCCATAACTCCATGAGTCAAATTCATCCCTAAGGAGCTACACCAGTGATAATTTGGACCTTATGTTTCCTGCAGTACAGCCCCTGTAAATGCTGCCGAGCATGCTTACAATACAATTCATAGCCCAAAGTTAAGCAGCAAGATGCAGGAAAGTTGGTTTACAGTGGCATCTGGAATGCAAAATACTGGAGGTGAGCTTTTTCTGTCCTGCAACAGCTTTAAGATTTCTTCTAGAAAGGAAGAGGTCACTTCATACAGTAATGTACTCGTGGGCGTGCACATCCCTCTGCTCCAGCGGCTGGCTTGAAGAGAGGCTAACGGAACTACCACCACTGCCTGCGGCTGCTAAGGCAAATCTCCTTTACCTCAAGTAGCAGAGTCATTTCAGAGTTGAAGAAATGAGACTCTAGCTCTGACTGCCCAAGAGAGTGTGTGCAAGAATTATGTAGACATTGTATCAAATGTCTGAAATATATGGACTCTGTAGGACACGCTACCTAATAAGGACTGTTTTATGTAGAGAAATAGAGGCAAGACATGAGTAAGCCATTTTGGCCTCCCTGTTGGCAGAAAGCTTGAGAAGACGAAAAGAACTATATTACCCATTGCTAAAAGCAAGCAACATTCACATGAATTGATGCTGAAATCGAAAACATAAAGCGAAGATAAATCATTGCAATCCAACACGACTCAAAAGGAACTGGGCTAATAGAAATCCCAGATTAGTATTGAGAAAATACTGAACGCCGGATAAAGATTAGCATTAGACAAAAAAATATAAAGAGTGAAAGGAGGTGGGAAAATTATATCTTAAGACTAAACGAGTTAAAGTAATGCAGTGATTACTAGTAACAGGTGTTACAGCATCCAGATTTAAAGTAACCAGGAATTCTGAGGAAAAGGGATAAAAAATTCCAGAAGAGGCTAATCGACTCACCCTGCAGTACCACTACAATTATTTTTGTTGCTGGGAATAAAATTTGGATTTAAAAAAGGAAGTACAAATCTGTAGACTCCTGTTATGTAGTTAAATCAGAGGTTTCTATGCAACATGCTGCTTTGAAATGGCACAAGTAGTTGTATAATTACATTATCAATGTAACTTACACTCTGTAAGGCCCAATTGTGTGAAACAAAAAGCCATTTACATAAATCTTTCACTAAATAGCAGACTCTATTACCCAAGTATTTAAAACAGAAACAGACTCAATTTCCTACACAGCAGAGTCTAAGAAATGGTGTTAAGAGCCTATAAGCAGATGGAATGGTTCAGCGAACGTAGCAGTCACAACAAAATAGACTTCTAAGCCAACCATGTTCTTTCCCCAAGGCTTTTATTTCCTGAGGATCTTCAAGTACAACAACAGCAGAGAGCAGAAGTCTCACTCTGGCTATTTCCTCAACCCTGGAGTGACTTTGTGGGGCAGCTGCCTACCCCCAAGGCATTGGTCTCCACCACGGCAGGTATGGAGGATCCAGCCCTCCTCTTGCAGTCTCTGATTAACCTGAGGGCTCTTGCCCTTGAGCAGGAGTTCAAGGGAGAGGGGAAACTGCTGGAGTCAACTTTCCTGCGCACCAGCGATCAGGCAGGGCCTGTGCACCTCGTCACTTACAACCATTTAAGCAAACATTATCTCCGTGTTGCGAGCTATTGCTAAATACCATAAAATAATGGAGAGGACCCAGCTTGCTCTCGCTAGTCATATTTTACTTCCAAAAACCAATCAACCCACCCACCCACCAACATTAAGGTTGCAAATTCAAAAAAAGCCAAAGCTGCAAAGTTAGGAAGTGCCAGAATTAACGTTGTCTGTGCAACCTTAATTCAGCCCTCTTGTGCATATCCATTATGCTACAGTCTTTAGTCAAATTAATTTTTTCCTTCCTCCCGACCCCTAGCTCCTGTGCCCTCCACTTTTGTGCCTATATACTTTCCACCTCCTCTATTCCCATCCATCACCAGTTCCTCTCCTGTTCCCATTCCTCCAATCCCCACCATCCTCCTATTTCTCAGCCCTCTACATTCCACTGCCTGGACCCAGCATGCAAGGCATTGAGCATACTGCAGAGACAGTCTCTTTACTTCCATTTCCCATGCATGGTGCCCCAGTGGCTTGCAGCAGCCAAGAGCAGCAATTGTAGGGAAAGTCTGGCTCAATCTCTGCATCCCCCCCGGATGGAGTATGCGCAGTACAGAGAGAATCTTCAAGGGTGATGAACAATCAACATGGTTGGCATTAGAAAATGTCCATGGTTATACAGGTGAGATATGTTTGCTATGGGTGATGAAAGGGAGATAGTCATTCAATGGTCCATATGCAGTGCCTCTTCTTATCTTTGACTTGACTGCTAGTGCCTTGGTTTTCTGGTGGTAGGATATACAGTGCAGCAACTTTAATTCCAAGTTTAAAAAATTTGGGTTGAAATCATATTTATAAAGCATGATTGTTTCCTTTATCTCTACCATCCCCATGAAATGATTTGATGCCATCTTGTGGTTAATTCTAGAAAGGCACCGAATCAGTCCACTTCATAGTACTTTTATTGAGCCCAGAATGGGAGGGTGCAGGAGACAGAAGTGAATTTCAGGAGATAAAAAAAATTGGCAGAGGCAGGATGATTTGCACATATTGCTACTGGGTTTCATGACAAAATGAGGTGGGGAGAAATGTAGTGAGACTGCTGATATCTTTCACCCCACCACTTAAAGTAGGTCTCAGTATATAAAGCTGAGGGCTACTAAGATTTCGTTTAAATAAGCATTTTAAAAAGGGTAAAAGACAGCAAATGGATGAAGCAGTATCAAGGGGCTGGAGCAGAGACCTGGAGAGAAGAGACCTGGGTTCTATTTCCTCACTTGCTTTGTGCTTGGCCAATGAACTTTTGCATCTCAGTTTAGGCATAATATTTACCCATCATTGTAAAATGCTGAAATATGCCATAGAAACTTCAAAGTACATTTGATGGGGAGGAGTGTTTGGGTACTGGGGGACAGAAATTGATAAATACTACTCCTGCATGAAAAGTAAATAAATGATTCATTGTAATGGTGGCTGATTGACTTGAAGTCTAGTCAGTTTTTAAAAGTGAGTTTAAAGTAGTTTCATATTCTACAATTGCCCTGGAGTTCCTCTGTCAACTTGTATGGTTTTACAGACAGGTTTTCCTATTTTAAAAACACTGTTTAGCACTCTATCGCAGTGTGAAAGGCCCAAAGAAATAATGAGAGAAATTAACTAATTAGGTAGGAGAAACAGTAACTTTCACAAGCTGTTAAATGCACACCGGGGGTGGGGAGAAGACTTTAAAGATGAAATTTTTATCTCCGATTATTCCTTAGGTGTCAGTGGGGCTCCAGGAAGATCTACGGGTCCAGTTTGTAGAACTGGAGCCAAAGATATATATAAATTAAATTAATGGAGATATCCTATCTCCTAGAGCTGGAAGGGACCTTGATAGATCATCGAGTGCAGCCCCCTGCCTTCGCTAGCAGGACCAAGTACTGATTTTGCCCCAGATCCCTAAGTGGCCCCCTCAAGGATTGGCCTGCTAAACCCAGGGTTGAGAGTTCAATGCTCAAACCACTGAACCATCCCTCGCCGATATAATGTTATCTATGCTGTGCTGGCTTTCACACTTGAACTACAAATTCATTTGCTATTTCTAATAAATAAACTGGACACAGAAGCATAGGACCGAAAAGGACCTCACAGGTCATCTAGTTCAGTCCCCTGCACTCCTGGCAGGATTAAGTATTATCTAGACCATCCCTGACAGGTGTTTGTCTAACCTGCTCTTAAAAATCTCCACTGATGAGTTGTACTGGTGATTATCCTGCTTTGTTATTTATTGAAAACGATTAATTCATTTCTCATTTTATAGAATGCCAACAATGCAGAATGATTGCATAACTCTGTTAACTCCTAATGTTCTGTCTTTCTGCAAATCCAGTGACTTCTAAAAAAACAAAACAAAACAAAAAACAAAATCACAAGAATCAATCATGTATATTCTTTTCAAATAGGACTTCCACTTAGAAACTAAAAGAAAAAATGTATACTTTGTTGTTCCTTTAAAGCCAAAGCAATTTGAAATAATGATCCTAAATAACAAAGTAAACTGAATAAAGTGCATAAAAATAAGTTATGGAATTAAAGAGATATATTCTAACCACAATGCTACTTACTGGGAGTTATTTGTCGGGAGAATAGACTTCTAGGAGTGTTTAGCTGCACAGATAAATCCACGAAGCTTACATGTAATGGTATATACAAAAATTAAGTATTTCAAAGCAAGGAAGAGTTGATTTTACATGCAAGATCAAATGGAGCTCAAATAAATCAAAATGGCAACATCAAAGGCTGGCAAAAATAAAAATAAATACATATTCTGACTCATTTCCCTGGGATAAAATAGGAGAATCAAACACTGACATTGCCAAATCAGCTCAACCTTTTCAGGCTTCACAAGTGTTTTTGCAAATATAAAAAAAAAACATTTTTATTTTAAGAAGGTCTAGCAAACCCCCAGCCCATCAAGTAATCTGTGATAATCAGTAGCTACATAAGCCTTTTCACATATGGATATGTTTATTTTAATCACACCATTTGTCACAC